AAAAAAAAAATCTGTGGCCAGCAGAGGTTGCAGTCTGCTTGTTCAGTGAAATACATAAATTATAAACAAATAATTATTTATATTTTAATTACAATTAAATACAAGCAAATAATTATTATTATTTAAATACCAAAAAAATACTAAAGACTACTAGAAAAATTTAATATACGTATTAAAATCTATTTAATAAAGAATTTAAATACATTTACATCAAGTGTAAGCTAAAAATTAAAGCCGAGAAGGGAATCTGTCCTTTCCAGGGCAGTGATTAAAAACTCTTATACAATATACAGCACCTCCGCCCCCCCTCGCACCCAGCATCTGCTTGTCACATATGCTCAAGAAAAACCAACTAAAATGGAGAGCTCTCCATGTTTTCCTAACACTATTAATCCCAAATAATACACAGCAACATACAAAAAATAAAGAGAGAAAAATTGTAATTAATTGAAATCTAAAATGTTTTACATTTTGCTTATACTTATAAACCGATTTGTCACTCCAGCTGAAATCCGCAGTTTCATTCAATTGGAAGCTATTTGCTCAGCCTTAGGAATAACATTATCCGTTTGTTTTTATTCAAAGGAACACAACGTGAAAGCTAGACGCATTTTCAATAAAGATACCAACGGCAATAGACACTCAACCGCAATACAGTTCTGCGCATCGTCTTGGCATACCCGAACTGCAAATAGAGCAAGGGTATACTCGGCGTGGAATGCTGAGTGGGAAGAGGAGTTGAAGTAGGACAGCTATATATAGAGTATTGGTATATGGGATAGTCAATCGATAGCTCATATCAGTCTGAGGGACATTGGAACGTACTCCACTTGAGCCTCTCGGGCTGCATATTTTAACATCGCAAATCAGCTTCGGTCGAGGTATATCATAGTCAATCACTGGCCCAGCTTATTTGGCAATAACTCTGCGGGCGTCACGCCCCCTTGAAGGCGAGAGTGATATAAATTTCAGCGTCCCTGCCAAGAGTCGGCGTGAGGCCCGGTCCTTGGCTTTGCTGTGCTGCAGAATCAAGGACGCATCACGAAGGAT